CATGAATGATGTCATGTTGTTGAAATAATGGAAATATGGTTTGACTAAAATTAAATTTGTGGCATTAGTAGACCAAAAATGTTTTCATTCTAATTGAGAAAATTTTGAAACATAAGACTAACATTTGGCTTGCTTTTTAAAAGAAAAATCCCCACTATACAAGTGCAATCCTCAATATATGAGACAAACCAATAAGTTCCAGAAATGTTAGGTACAGTAGAATGCCCCCGAATATACCCTATGAATAAGAGTGAATGTAATAGATGTTCTTTTTGCTTATTAGAAAAACAAAATGTTTGTGCTTTGGGAGTTCATACACGTTATAACAAAAATCAAAACAGTAATTCTCTAAACAAAGAGAGAAGTAAATTTTTTAAAATATTAAATGACGAACAACTAAGCGAAGGTGGTGAAGCCAAATCTTATCTTTATTGGATTTAAATTACTAGTAAGGAATGATAGAGGACAACAATATTCAATTCTATGTTTCTTATTTGGTTCTTTGAGATAGTAAAGACCATCTCTCCCTAGCATATCCAATCATCTTCCTTGGATCTTGTTCCTGAAATACACATTGAGAAGGACAAAAGTCATACTGCAATTAGTATCTGTCAGTTTTTGAATAGACAAAAGGTTGGTAAATAATTTTCGAACAAAGACATTTTTTAATGCAAGTGAATCACTAATAAATATATCTCCTTGATTCGCAACAGTAGTTATTAAATCATTAGCTATGGTGAATCTTTTTATTACTAGAGCAAGGCATGTATGAGATGAACTTTGTGGAGGAAAAGGTCATATGGTGTGTGGCTTCTGAGTTGATGATCTATGTGTTAGGGGTAACATTATGTGAAGCTCTAAGAACATGAGAAGAAGATGATATATCTGAGAAGGCTAGATTACAAGTACTTGCAGAAGATGATTGCTTCTCCATTGACTTTAGAAAATTCTTCAATCTCTCCATCATTTATGTTCAATTCAAATTGTATCTCTAGTTGCTATTAACTCCGGCTGTATGACTTGACCCTGTACTCTTCCCTGTTCGTTCCTCCCTGTTCTATTCTTATTTGGGACTTGTGGCCTGTCATGAAGCTTCCAACATTTTTCTTTGATGCGATGGGATGTTTTATAGTAGATTGACCACAAGTTTTGACACTAACTACTTTTTATCTTCAATGGATGTCTGCTCTAACACAGTACTCTTACTTGTTGTTTTTGACACTAAGACCAAATTCTCAACCGAAATATTCTGAAACATAATTCCTCGCCTTCCTTCCTCAGCATAGATTACAGAAATTGTCCATTAAGAGAAGGTTGATCCTCATTGCCAAGGACTTGAATCCGTTCTGCATCCAACTTAATATTAAATCTGGCAAAAAAATCATAAATTCTTCACTGCACCTCATTTGAATGTACATTGATAATGATCTATCTCTTGCCAAAGACTTTGCAGGAGATTAGAATATTCAGTAACTGTTTGATTTCCTTGTTTGGTGACCTCAATCTTAGTCTTGATTTCATAGATATGTGCAGCATCGCAAACCTGTGTTCTACCATTTCATTCTTGACCAACTGATTATAGTACAACTTGACTGTGAAGGATCCATTATCATTAAATAATAAATCCATCATTGAGAGAGAGGATCCTTGACTCATAAAGAACCTTTAGTAACAATGGATGGTAGACATCAACTCACCAAAAACAAATCTCTTAAAGCCAAAAAACAAGCAATATGAAATAATGACGATTCAAAACCTACTCTAAGAATTACAAAAAACCTACCAAAACATATGAAATGGAAACTGTGAATTCTTGATAAAACTTATGTTAATTAGTTGAAAGAGTACCAAAACAACATTAACAATAAAATTGAAAAGGAGGATCAGATTTTTATAAACCAACCTGAATCAAAAGATACTTTGTAGCTTGACCGCGTCGAAAATGAAGCTCAATCTGCCAAATGTTCTCATAGGAAAGCTCAAGCTTGTATTCCACCTCATCATGAGATAGCATGAAGTGTAATTTTCGCATTCCAATTCCAAAATTCAGATAAACACCAGCCTTGGTCCAAAAAGTGGAAAACTTTTCTTTTGAAATTTGGCAGCCAAAATGCAATTGGAGATTGTCCATTCTATACAGCGACATTCTTGGCTTTGGCACCATATCTTGCTCCATTTTCCGAGCCTTGAGATATGACATCCCATACCAAAGTCGCTGATTACTCAAGGAAATAATATGCTCAGCATATCTGGCAGCTGTAAATTGGACAATTGCGTATGCTCTTGGACCACCATTTTTAGTTTGTCTAACTTTAATGGCATAAACAGTTCCTTTTCCTGTGTGCAACTCCAGGAATTCTTTAACTGCTTCTGCAGAAACAGGCGAAGGGAATCCATATAAATGAATTGTCTTACCCATGGGTATAAGGAGTCTTGAACTCTTGTATATTGTTACATGCCAGCCACTGCAAATTCATCATGAACAAAATTTAAGAAACAAATTACAAATTCAGTCCTCAATGAGCAAAGTCAAATTCAAATGCACATACTTTGTATCCATCCTACTAATGCAATTGGGCGATTCCTGTTGCTGGGCGTAAAAAGAACATAATTTTTTTTTTTGTGAAACAAGACCAATCCAGTAGTAGTCAAAAGATTATTAGAACGAGTTTGGACTAGTGTAGCTGCACACAGACAGTGAAAAAAAAAAACAAATGTTTTCCTGATTATGTGCAAAGATTCTGAATCTTCTCATAATTCGGATAAGAACCTAATTTGCAAGTAAAAATAACTAATTACATTGTATTTTTAAGATGGAACTCTTGACAACATATTGCAAGGGATGATCAAATGAAAATGAAGTCAATTTGTATATTTAAAATCATTTGGGGAGATATCATCGTAAGCAATAATGATATCATACTACTTTTTCCATAAAAGTCGAAATTCGCTGAAACGAAAATGAAGTGTTTTTCCTAATTCATCTATAAAAAAAGAGGGCAAATACGTCCTAACATGCAAAATAAGCAGCAAAAGTTTGGCCTAAAAAAGATATCAACAATATTTTTCCCACAACATTTAAAGTGGGCTATTGTTGAAATAAGAAATTATATTTCTAGAGTTCAGTTACTAAGCCATAATTGGTGTTCACTAAACAATCAGTTACATATAAGTTGAAGCTTTGTATCCGCTCTTTGTTCAATTCAATATCATACAAAACATCGATATCTACATAGATTCTATCTGTCCTCTGTAATCTTCTGATTAGGACGCATTTTAACGATTTCATAAGCACTACTAAATAAATAATGGACAACTCTGTTTTAGCAGAGTTTTAAGGTAGAAGGAGAAGAGATTAAGATACGAAGAGAGAAAAGATAAAGGTAAAGGAACAAGGGAAAAGGAAAAGAGGAAGAAGAGAAAAGAAATGATTTGATGAAAAGAGAGAAACCAGAATTTAGAGAAAAAATGCTTCAATTATATTCCAATAACAATTGTTTTACTCATCACATCCAATCTTTGTGTAAAGATACCGAATGAGCCAATAGCAACCATGGGAACCAAACAAGTTGGCGACTTGAGGTTGTCACCTCCTTTGGCTACCATACCTAGGTTGGCTACTATATTTAGGTAGGGGTACCAGTAAGGTCAAAGGTTGATAGGAGAGCTTTCCGGTTCTAAGGGAATGGCATGGTCCACACTCCGGATAGGTGGAAGTCCTGCTTCACTGAAGAAGTCTCTGAAGTCTTGTAAGACTTTCTCCAAGGACTCATTTGCACCTTCCTTGTTCCATGAGCCTTCAGTTTCTAGAGACCAAATGTAGCAAATGGAGCACTATTGCTAATGCGGAACCTGAGATCAACTAACGGATCAAAAACCCTACATGTAACATCAGTATTTAGAATCATAAAAACCCTCAACAAATCATCCCTATTTAATCCAATAATTCACCTGGAATTATGAATTAAGGTAATTAAGATAGTTTGAATTGATTAAAAACCCCATAAGTATGAAATTGATAAATTAGAAATCGATTTGAAAGCAAATTGATAAAACGGCACAAGAACTTACCTTGATAAGTTGAATCAATCCTCATTCAACAAGAAAATTGAAGAAAACCTCCCTAGTTGAAAACTAAAACTTTATAATTTTATTGGATAAAACTTGAATTATTACAACTATGAATTGAAAATCTATTTATAGTGTAGATCATGTGCATTATAAAGAAAATAAATCTCCCAAATTAATTGTAAAAATTACATAGAAAATTAATTCTAGACTAGAATGAAAAAACAAGCAAAATTAAAAGTTACAACTAAAATAAGATAGATATGATCTTCCTATAAGGAAACTTTTCTAAATGGAGAATATTTTAATTAATTGTGGAGATACCTTCCTTTAAAAGTTGAAGATTTAATTTTCTCATTTCTTGAAACATTAATTGATTTAGGAAAATCTTATAATTTAAATAAAATTGAAGATCTCTTAATTTAATGAATATCTCTTAATTTAATGAAAATTTTTGGATTCCTTCGAAAAGTAAATCCATCCATGATCTTGTGATAAATATTAGAATCCTTCCATGATCTCCCTTGATTTTTCCCATATGTGAATATTCTCTTTTAGCAAGATATGATCTTAGTTTGAAAACTTGGAAGTATATAATTTTGATTCTCTCTTGATGGATGGATTTCCACAATTCCTTGATTTTGGTTTCTTTTTTGCCATTTGAGAAAGATATGAAAATGAAACTTTCTTTCTTGAAAGAAAAATATTTCTTGAGTGGGAAAAAATCTCTCATGAGTGGTGAGAGATTTCCCATGGGTTTTTAACTTCTTTTGGAGCTGCTTCTTTTCTTGACTTGGTTGGTTGCTTGAATAGTACAAGCCATCCATGCTTACATCAATTGCCCTCGGCTTGCCACTATTTTTTTACGGTTCTTTTTTCAGCAAAATCAAGGATTCAGATGCTTTGATTCCTTATGGAGTGATTTGTTCTCCATCTCTCGTAAAACTGACTTTTGATCCAGCAAATAAAAAATGACAGGATTGTGAAGTTTCATCCAATCTACACCCAGAATCATGCCATAATTCCCTAAGGGAGTTATTATGAAATTGTAGTAGAATTTATAATTCTGCATCTGTCACTGGATACTTGGCCATTCTTCTTCACTGGATAATATGTCACTATTTGCTACCATCACCGTAAGAGGTTTGCCACGTACCACCAGATCCTTTACTTCCTGTGCAATTTTTTACAAAGGAAAGTGAACTTCAACTATCCAACAATATTAAAATGGGTTTCTCATTCAACAGCCCTCTGATTTTAACAGAACCACCTAAAGAACCCCCAGTTATATCTTGCAGAGATGAGTTACAGGATCTCCTGAATTATCCTGCTGCCCTTCCTCCAGAGATTGATCATCTTCACCTTCTCCTTCCTCTTCTTCATATTTCTCCACTGTCGTGGCTATTTTGTTCTTTACATTGATATCCAAGAAAGTACTTCTCTCCACGCATCTGTAGTAAAGATTGATTCTCCTCATTTTCGATTAGTTTGGACCCCTCATAGGTGATACCTTTTGAAAGTTTTGGATCTTGGAGCATTTTTCAGTATTAGTGGAATGCCCTTGGGAGTAGGGTTTACTTGAAGTGACGTGGCAAATGTTGTGGAGGAAATTTGTGTCTTGATTTGTTGTTAATGGCATCAACCACCTGCTCTTGCCACAGAGTCAACTCAAATGCATGATTCAGGGTGGGTGGTCAGTGCATTCTCACTACAGGCCTAAGTTCTTCTTTTAGGCCACTGATAGAGATAGAGATAAAGTATCTCTCAGTAAAACCTGAATTCTCTGTCGGGAGCAGGGATCTCATCTCCTCAAATCTTTCTTGATAATTCAAGACAGTATTTTGTTGCACCAGTTTGTTGAATTCCTCAACATCTACCCCAGCTAATCTTCCAAATCTCCTACACAATTCTTCCACAAATGATTCCCATTCAAATATTAGAGAGTTATTTGCTATCTATGGAACCAAATATCAGCCTTGCCCCTTTGATATAATGAGGTTGTTTCCACTCTATGTTCCTCTAGAATATTAAAAACTTAGAAGTATTTAATGCACCTCCTCATCCAAGTTCTTGGATATCTTCTTCCAAAAATAGGAATATTGATTTTTGGGGTAGGGTTTCTAGTGAGATTACCCTTCAACCCCGGACCAGTACAAACCCCAACTTCCCTATACTTTGGGTTTGACAACAATCCTCTATCCATGTTCAAAGCAGGGGCAGAAAAACTTACTTTTACAGGCATTTCACTCAGCCGCACTCCACCGTGCAGTAGTTTGGTGAGCCGCTCCACCTGCTGACTGAAAAGAGCCATCTTTTGGTTGATGAGGGCTCAGGTTTGCTGCTGGGAATTATAAACCTCGGACATGAAGCTTCTTCTCAATGTCACCCTCATATGGGTGAGTACAGTGCAATTTGGAATTTGCATAGCACAAGCCTCTACCTTCTTCACTGAACAGCAGAATTTTGAACAAAAATATCCAAAATTTTCCTCACTCTCCATCCTCAATTAACTCTCTAGATGCCATTAGATGGCAATCCTGTCCATTTATTAGAAGATCCATGTACTTGTTTTAAGGAGGAAAACAGGAAGCAAGGGAAGCATCAAAATCTCATGAGAATACAGATCGACATGCTCTTGTCGATTGGTAAAATGATTATAGCACCTCGCATGGAGGCGTGAGTTGAGCAAAGAGACACTTTGTTGCCACACCTAAATGTCTATCCCTTAGAACAAGAATAATCTTAAATATAAGTTGGTGCCTCGCACTTGCTCTTCATTCAATGAAATACGGAACATAATATTAAATTCTCTCCGCAAATCCTCTGAACTTGTTTCTTATTCTTCTTGATCCTTCCTTTTATTCTCTTCTACTTCTTTCTCTCTCTCTATTTCTTCTTCTCTTCTCAAGACTACATTCCAGGTACATAATTCCTAAACCCATAGTTTTTATTTTCTAAACAAATACATTGGTATACAGAAGTACGTATTGTAGTATGCATGTGGTAGTTAAGCATTTAAAAATAATAATTTTTTAAGTAAATATGGAAAACAACTTTTTGTTACTTTGAAAGTCATGTTCTCTTTCCACTTATTCTAATTTTCAATTAACATAACATGTTTCTTACGTAAACATTTATGTGTTAGGAAATAAAAACTAAAAGAAGTTTTAACCAAACGGGGACTTGATCTCTCTCTATATAGATATAGAAAGATGGGATCTTTTATCAAGAGGGCGGAGAAAGTTAGGAGCAGAATCTGTCCGCAACAAGAAAATTTACAGCAGACCGTGAAAAACATTTTGAGCTAGCGCATAGAAACAAATTTATATACTTATATTACTAAATTTTCTTATCTGACATCTATCTAATTTCAAAATGATAGTCTTCCTCTGTTCCTATTCCGAGCTCGATCATTTCCACATGTACCGAACTCACTTGCTCTTTAAACTTAATACAGTCACAGACTAGCTAGTAGTTCTGTAACTAATAAGAAAAAAAAAAAAAAAAAGCTAAAGGAAGAAGAGAGTAAAAACATTTAAAAGAAATTATGAACATTATAAGTTATCATCAATTTTAAGTGGAAAAACAGAGAAAAGAAAGAGAATTAAAATGATAAACACAGGCTTCCCTGCATTTTCAACCAGAATCATACCAGGATTACGTAAAAATTAAACACGATGTATAATTAAATTAAACGCAGCAACAACTTCAAATGCACTAAACTAAGTTGACTGAAATAAAGCTTCACGTCTAAGCAAACATATAGTCAAAACCACGCAAACATCCATGAAGTTAAAATCCATCTTAATGGTACAAAAGAAGGAGATCACAAAAAAAAAAAGGAAGCAAACGAAAATAAGCGAAGAGGAAGACTCACCGAACCAGAGAAAGCAAAAAATGGACCAGTAGAAGAAGAAGAAGGCGAAGCTTAGTCGAAGAGAAAATATATTCTTGATCGTCTTCGTCAATTCTATTCAAGGCAAGTCCCTCCAATTTCTTTCTCACTCACTCCACTTTCCAAGTAGCACTGGCCCTTGACTCTACTGACTTTGATCTTGAAGTGGTCTCCACTCCCGAGAAGAATTCATTGCTTTTTGCTTTTCTTTCGACACGTTTCGACCTGTGATTGAGTAGTGACAAAAAGAGTCAACTTTACCCCGATGACTTCGGTTTCACCCGGTCATTTAGAACTCTAGTGCAGCGGATAAAGCTCAGTTTTGTGACTCCTTTTGCTCCTACGCCATTAAGCTTCCAATATCGTACCCAATAATCCCGGCAAATATTTCTGCTGGGTGACAGGGGATTACATGTAAGGACATGCTACTTCAGGTAATTTTGTGTTAGACAAAGTAGAATTTTGATTTTTTACTTAATTGAAAATTTGAACAACCATTGTATCAGAATTTGATAGTTTATGGACATGCTCATTGCTATAAATTAGAGATGAGCGGCCATGGAGTTTTGCTTCATAGCTACATAGGAAGTAGAAATTTTCGTACTTATTATCAAGCAATAAATTATTATTAATTTGTTAATTTAATTAATTAATTAAAATTATTTTGTAAAATAATCTAAACATACCCTAATTATTTTATTTTATTTGCTAAAAAAAACTTTAAATAAGTAAAAAACATTAATAATTAAATTATAATTAAAAAAAAATTAAAAACTAAATTATAATAAGTACTAATTTTCAAAAATTTATTAATTATATGTTTATAGCGGAGCTAAGTATATATATATTTGTCTAATTTATAATTTCATCATACTCAGTTTCAAGTTTGTAACTTTATACATACACATCCATTATAAATAACATTATAGACATTATTAACTTCATCCTAGAGATGAAAAGAAATTCATCCATGGAAACAAACAAGTTGCGAAACAAATGCTCGTCAGTTCAAGGTGGAGACTTTGGAATTATTTCAGAGGAGGATCAGCCAAATGTAGATGGGAAAGCTTGTTTTCTCCAGGCCCAATTTTCCAGATCTTAACGTCAAGGGGCAAGGTTATGCTGAAGGGATTAATCTTTGGACCTCAAGTATCCATTTACCAGTTTTCATTAATATAAACATCATATACATTTACCACTAGAACAATTATAATTTTCTTAAGACATATCTACACTGAGTGATTTAATAAAGAAATATGACGCCAAAAAGTACATAAATGTTTATAAAATGAGGAAAATCTAGTCTACCCACCTAAATAAAAAACTTTAAGGAACATATAAATGTTACTATCCTCTTATCCATGCTCAGAAGTGTCAGCAGAGTCTTTCTAAGCAACTAGTTAAGGGCTATTCCTTGCCAAGAAAAGCTATGAATAAATAAATACAATAGAAAAAAAAAAAAAAAAAAAAAAAAAAAACACAAAATGAGAAAGCAAGCTAAAATTGTTGGATTCTTAAGCAAGCACCTCTCTCTTTTCGGACAAGGTTCTTTGAACCGTTCTGCCGGTGAACTGGCTGCTTTTGCTACCGCTAACCTTAGACATTTGAGGAATAGACCTTTGCATGATCCTAATGGGAATTCCACCTAAATCAAAATCCTCTTTTAAAGACTTTGTTAAGAACCTGAGGTCCGTGTCCGATAGCTGTGTCTTCCCACTCATAAAGGCTACAAAAGTGGGTGGCCGGGCTTTTACCTGTGTGACGTACTTGATCTTGGGTTGTGCAGCCTTGTCTTTCCACGAATGTCTGCTCATTACCTGACCAAACACAAACTCATACACATCAAATTTTATTGCTTACCATGTGCCTTTGCTATGTTGGCACATTCTACAAGACACTATGGTAGCAAATCGACTCATCATAATTAATATTCTCTTCTCTTTTCCATTAAATTCAATTAGACGATTTTCAATTTAAATCTAGTGATTACCAAAATCAGAATCAGAGTATCGTTACTATAGTACCAGGTCACCTTCGAATTTCCCATGCTATGTTAGCGGAAGGGGGAAGGGGGGGATGGAAAGTAATGAGTACTGACCTTACACAACCACCGATTAAGACGACCTGTGGGCAACCTTAAACACCATTTATTATATGTATCAATGACCTGGCGCATGATGGCCATACGGCCTCTTCCTTCTAATGCTGAAATGAATATTACTGGTATTCCTGTCACCTGCCGCAAAGCCGAAGTCATCAGCTTCAGAGGCCACAACATAGATTATACCAGAAACTAGAGAGGATACTAGAGCACTTAACTTCCCACTAATTGATTCATAGATCAAGAACATCAGAACATTGTATACCAAGTATAACAAATTCAAAATATACTAAAACAATGAAAGACGAAAAAGTGACTGCATAAGTAGAACAAGTCAAACAAATCGAAACCAGCACATGAACCAAAATCGGCTTTAAAAATGTCATTAAGCAACCATCAGATCTTCACAAAACAAGATTTGTCTTTCAAGTATCTGAATGAAGTGCCCGCATTCATGACAACAAGCCCTGCCTTTGCACTTGTCCTTTTGATAAAGGACAAGAAGCAGAAAGAATGGGGAGTGACATGGAAATAAAGTGACCAACCTGGGGTAAAACTGTCTGAATTTCTTGAGGAACAGCTTCCTTGACCTTCTGATATAGCATGGATTTCTGTTTCCCCCTTAGACAATCCATCTTGTTTACAACAATAACCAGACCACGTCCTTCTTCCACAGCCCGTCTTGCTATGACTACCTCAGCATGCGTCATACTCCTTCTAGCCTTTGAAATCTGAATATTATATGTACCATAAACATAGAATAAAGGTAAATTAGAAGTGGGGGGAAATCCTCATGCTGTATGGTTTGGTATTGAACATCTCTCAACTGTGTTATAAATATCCATATAGGTAAGAATGAGGTAGGCTTCTCAAGTGTCCAAAAACATGAGAACTTTATATTGGTCCAAAGTATTAACTATAGAAACCTCCCAGAAGAATCTTATTGTATCTGTTATCATGCACTAAATTAACTGCCAAGATGAATACAGCAAGATGGCTAATAAATGTATACACACCTCTTCTGCATCAAGGACAAGAGCAATTACATGAGCCCGCATCAGACTCTTTCTTGATTGCATGATGCTCAATGATGCCGGTCCTTTCTGTAGCTCTGTTCTCTGCAACCAACCTGCAGTATCAACCTGAGTAATAAAGCACAAAAACATCAAATTATGTATTTTGATTTGATATATGTATATATATATAAAACACATTAAAACAGACACTGACTTTTACCAAAAGCAGGTAATGCCCTAAACTGTTTATTAGCACAACAATGTAGGCATTAGAATACCTAATGCTGGGTAAGAATGAGCCAGACACATTTACAACAAAGGAACTCCTCTTTTGCTGCAGGTAAAGGATAGTTTAAACAAATACTGTGATCAACATGGAAAAAACAGAAAAGAGACTTAAATTGTGTAGAAGTTTTGTTCAGCAGAACATTAATGGCAGGCGAAAGCAAAAAGAAAGATGGATTTGTCATGCTTTTCACCAGATATCAATGTAGAAAATAAATTAACAAATCAACCTGGCAAACAAAAATCTATTTAATGCTTTAGAATTCCTAGTTCTGTTAATAGTGTATTCAATTTTATTCAACAAGATAAATATAATGATAAGGATAAAAAGAAGTTCATGAGATCAATGCAGGACAAACACATTTTTCCAATAAGACAGTGAAGCTGAAGCTGAAATGTACAAGTTGAGTTAATCGTCAAAAGTTGATATGTACCAAATATACAGTTCTTCCTTGAAACAGAAACTGTGCTCTCACAGAATCTCGCGTCAACCCAGCTTCTGGACCCACCAGTACACGCTCTTCTTGCAACAATACATTGAGCAGTGTTGACTTCCCCACATTAGGCCGTCCTACAATAGCTAACTGTAGTGGCAACTTAGACTCATCAACCTCACCAGAGTTACTGTCCTGATTTGAGATATTATCTTGACTGCAACTGTCTAGGATAATAGAAGGCAAAGCAGTGACAGAGAGACAGAATGACAACAGGAATAGTTAGATCCAAGATCATGGACAAGAAAAGAAATGTAGTTTGTAAATTAATAAGTCATGGCTAAGCTTCAGAAGTGCTCCATCATCAGAAAATTTTAAATATGAGCATCTCATAGAAATGGCATACATTATTCATATATGTAGATAAAAGTGAAAGTAGCATAGGAATTTGTGACAAAATCTAGGAGAAATAAATATTTTTTTAATAGGCATTTGTGCCCCACTCAACGTCTTTTTTAAAAAAAGTGCACCACTAGACTTATAAGATTAAAATTTAATAAATTGGATTCTTCTGATACATGATTTTCAACAAACACAACTTTGTCTTCGGATCCAAATATGTCTTACTTTATACCTAGATCATCAATTTGCAATTAGAAACAAAGGGGAAGTTGATTGGAAAACAGATATTCTAACAAACTTGGCAAGAATAAATAAGACTGCAAACTAATCTGAGAATTACAAAACCAGTATGATGAGCAGATATCTGGTAAAACTTGTCTCCACAACTACGAAAACAAAAAGGCTAAACTACAAAGAAAAAAATACAGGAATAACTACCATCAACAGATCCTTTTAAAGAATATTAACATGAAGGAAGGCCATAGCAAGTCTTCTACACCATTGCCACTCTTGAAAAGGTAAGCCATGGTCCCCAACAAATACCACCCTAGAATCCATATAAAACATTTTGCAATCCAGCAACCACCAAATTTATTTTTCTATTATACACATTATTAGACCATAAATAGTAATTTCATTGTCAATTTGGCATGTAGCCAATACTTAAAGTAGGTTATCCTAGTAGCTACATTCTGAAATAGGGAGGTAAGTGGAAATCACTCATATGATGGAGGGAGAATAAATACTTCAATTGGCATGACAAATTATCTCAAAGAACAAACTTCTCACCGTTTAGAGCTCTGACCATATAATCCTCAAGTGGAGGTCGAAGAACTTCATAGAGTGCTGTCATACCCAATCCAGTCTCAGCAGATATAGCAATTGGCTCCCCAAATCCTAACATATGGGCTTCAGAAGCAGCTTCAGCAAAAGAACCAACACCATCATGAAGTGATTCAGATTTATTCATGGCTACTATGGGCTTAATTTCTGGTGCATGTCTGCGCAACCACTTCCCAACCTCCAAGTCCATCGGATGAAGTCCATTCCTAAAGACAAAGAAGCAAGAAATCAATTACATGTACACCTCAAGAGCAGCAAAATATATTCAATAACAATACATAACTTATACTGTAAAAAAAACTTTAAAGACCAGAAAGATCAGATATGAGTTTCTGTTCTCTTCTTTCCCTATTTCTCTTCATTTTTCTCGTGAATGTGTCTATTTTGGTGGCAAAAGGGATTGTCAGGTCCTAAAATTCATTCTTAACTTCTGTTAACTCATTGATGGTATGTTTCCTAACACCATATTAAGGCTGCAATATTAGGAGACAAGTTTCTGCCTAGCTGAACATCAATCATAGACATTTCTTGTCTAAAAGACAAGCGAAAATTGCATAAAAGGTTTACAACTGACCTCACATCAATTAGGAGAATTGCAAACTGGGTCCTCACAAGCACATTGGCAATCATTGCCGTGGTTCTGCCAAGAATAGACCCTGAAGATGCTTCTGTTTCCAAGCCAGCAGAGTCAAGTACTCTGAATCGCAGATCACCCAGTTTGGCAATACCTTCTCTTAGGTCCCTAGTGACATGATCATCAGGGGTGTTGTACACAAGAGCTTCCCTCCTCCGGATCAACCTTCAACATCACCAGAAATATCACCTTGTCACCAAAATAATATAAAATAATTCATATTCGTAAATAGATAAAAATAAAGCTAACCGGTTAAACAAGGCTGACTTGCCAACATTTGGGCGACCAACAATCATGACTGTTGGTAGTAGGTTAATGTCTACTTTAGTGAAATCAATGGGTTTCTCGTACACCATCTTTTCTTTATGTTTACCCACAACATCAGCCGCAGAATCAAAACCTGAAATCTCCATGTGATCACATGCATCATCACTTGAGCAATGATCATCATCGAATAATTCATTTTCGGATACTGAGCAAAAGAGACTGGTGAATTGAAATACACTATTACGATTCACGCTTGTAAGTGAAATAGTACAAGGCTTTTGACCCAACCAGAAAATTCCACTTCCATTAGTGACAGAATTGAAACATGATCCTGAAAGAAAAAACATGCCAGTAATTATTGATGCAAAAAACAAAATACTACCCTTCAAAACAAAATCTATAGCATTAGAATTCCAGTACCGAAAAAAAAAGTTACCAAAAAATGATTCCTTGAGAGTTTGCTTGGAGAAGATGGGGGCTGAGTGAACACTATACACATGGATTTTTGGAGAAGACGCGCTTCTCTGGAGGAAACCAATGCCATAGCATTTTCTTCGAGCTGAAAAGGTTCGCATCCATGAATAAGACATTGCAGTCTGATGATTCCCCGCTAATGATTATGCATGTCCTTATAGGTAGAATCCCTTTTCACATAAATGCCTGCATATACCGAAGCACATAAAAGTGCTTTGTACTTGCAACTGCAAAGTAAAACAAAAATTTGTCCTTCAGAGAGAGAAACTGGAAGCCAAACTAGTTGTGCTTCTGCTCTTGTGCTAAGAAATTGTAACAGAGATGTTCCAAAATTCAACAGATTAACATGTTGGTAAGAAACCATAGAAACTCAGACCAAATATTTATTCAAAAAAAAAAAAGAAAAAGAAACTCAGACCAAATATTGGAACCCAAAGAATAGCCAAAATATACATCTAAATGAATTGGGTAACCATTAAAAAATATCCTTCTCACAATTTTCAATTTTCAAAAGCATTACAACAGGAAGCTACTCAAACATATAGTCACTAAAAAACACCTTTACTTTATAGAAAAATGAGTTTCTGGAAACCATACGCCCATAACTTAATAATCCGAAAAATTAAGTTTCAGCAGTTGCAAAATTAGACAAACTACAAGTACTAGAAAGAAAATATCAAGGTCTAAATTTTAGATAGAGAAGGAGAATAAAAAGAAAATAGGGAAAAGGAAGAAAAAACGAATTGGGGGAAAAAAGAGACCTTGCTTGCTAGAGTACGTTTGGGAGGTAGAGAAGGGATGACTCACTGGACGAGAAAGGAAAAAGGGAAGATATTAACACTAGTTTCAGAACCCTTATTTTTAGAGGGGGCTCAGTGTTCCAGAACTGATTTTAAAACCTTCTGAACTGAAGGCCCAACCGAATATTATATTTTTGTTATCACTAACAAGGCTTTGTTTCTCTCCCATTTTTTAAATTTTTACGTTTAGAATTTCTAATCCATTTAGCAGAATGAAAGCTCAATATCAAATTAAGCAAGCACTAACGTAATTAGTCGATTCGCATTTGTGCAGACACTGTTCTATGGTAATATATAAATAAATATATATATACATGCAGATATATATATATATATATATGCGCAAATGTAAAGCAGATATAACTGATAAGCGTGGAAAACAGAAACAAAAAAAGGCTAATCGGAATGAATAAACTCAGAGCCTCCATTTCCACGTGGGTTTACATTCTCAGTCATATGAATCAAAAACATGAATCAAATATATTTTATGTTAATGAGACAACTGACAGTTACTTACGGTCACACGATAATTTGCTTGTCCAGCTTTTCCTTAGTCTACTCTTTATCGATCACTGTTCTTCTTCTTCACAAAACCGAGGCTCCCCGTTTCCTCTTCTTTTTGCTATTCTTTTTCACTCTCGCCAAACAACAATGAAAAATCCGAAACCCTCTTTCACCTTCCCGTCTTTTGTTTGAGATTTTTTGCTCCCTCAATAAACCTCCCTCTCTCTCTCTCTCTCTCTTCGGCCTCCCTTTTTACCAAATCGCTGTCTTCCCAATCCTCAAAACAGAAGCTCCCCCTCAAAGAAAAACAGGAGACTCCTCCCTCATATCTTCCCTTCTCTCTCCCGTCTCTCTCGGCCTCTTCTCCTTCTAGAACCTGCTTCCCCCTTCTTCACCAAAATCTTTCCCCGGTCAAACCCTCTGATATCCCTTCTTTTCTCCCGAGTTAACACTGAATCCCTACTTTCACGCTGCTCTCTGATTCTTTCCCTTCCCTTGGGTCGAACACCTTCCTCTTTTGCGCTTCAATATCAATCTCTTAGACCCGTCACCATCAAAACAAGCCTCTCTCCCGACTGCAGCGGTTTTTAGCCAGTCTTGAAGAAGGAAGAAAATCTTCCCTAAACGATGGCGTTTCTTGGGAAGTGAAGTGGAGTCTGGTCCTCCTCTATGTTTTCATTGTTTTTTTTTTTTTTTTTCCTTGGGCTGAAGGATCAAAGGGGCTTTTAATATAGTGTTGTTTAGGGCCATGGACAAAATTGAAAAGGCTAAATTTGGGGTTTTCTTTAACTTTGACTTTTAAAATAAATAACAGTGCTTAATTCTCGTTTAGAAAAATTGGTGTGAATGAACAACTTTAATGCTGGCCTGACCTTAATCGTGGACCAAATTATTTTGATCATGTCTAGATTAGTAGTGTTGTGAAAAGAAATATATTCCTATTATGAATTTTCAAATTTTACATCACCTCTCTCAACTACACCAAGTTTGAATGCAGACTTTATAAATAATTTTATAACTTTTATCTCTATAAAAAAGATACAAAGTTTGAACATAATTATATTTCGTATGTGTGCATTTTAGTCCGCTGTCCCTTTAGTGATCAGGGATAGCAATAGAATATGCACCCAATTATTTGTCATCTGCTCCACTCCAAATCAGGGAAGACAATGGAGTAAATTTATGGCACTCAAAACTCTACCCCTACTTGTTAAGTCTTTTGAAACTTTTTTGAACCAGTGTCAATTTTGCAAGTCATTTTATTTGCACACAGTTCAATTATTTTGTGAATTTTGGTAGGCCAATCACAGCTGCTTCACCTTCCAACTACTTTCCATGTCAATCCAAACCTGACTTACTCCAAACCCACTATTTAGTTTGAAAAAAATGGGTTTAAAGTTGACATTGTGATTCCTATTCCAAATGGGATTAAAAGTGAGACTTAAAAAAGTAAAGGTTTGAAAAAAAAAGAATTAACTTATTTACCTGGGTAGTTGATTGGGTGAGTATAGATTTTATTGTGTGATTGTAAGCTGATGTTGTCTTTTCTTTTTTTATTTGCATACACAAATATTTTTGTGTTAATATAATACAATAAATACAAGCTTATAAGAAATTTTTATGTATAAATTATTTTTTATTAAATTTAATATATTTATATAAAAATAATAAAAAATGATACATGCATTGAGAAATTTTTTAAAAAAAATTATTAATTTTTTAATTCATTTATTCTCTTTATCTAACTATTATACATAAAAATTTTATAATTTTAATTAATGAAAAATATTTTAAAATGAGAATTTATATTATTTTTATATTTAAAATAATTGAATATATTGATAATTATTTTTATTATTATAATTTAATATTCATAAAATACAATAATTTTATAATTTATTTTAAAATTATTCACTTCATCAAAATATCTTTTCATTTATAATGGTTATCTATTATTTTAAATATTTTTTAAATTAACTTCAATAATAAATAGATAAAAAAAATAATAAAATATTAATTTAATGAGTCATCTACTTAATTATTAAAATTAACAGTGCATTTTTTAAATTTTCAATTCAATAATAAAAAAAATATATATAAAAATTATTTGAGTTAATATATGAAATAGCAGAAAAAATCCTGACAAAGTGTTAACAAACAAATGCATGCTTATGTCCGGGTGACTTACATCACAAAATGCGGGAGAGTAGTATAGTTTGTTTCCGTGAAAGAAACTACAATTGAATTACTCAAGCAAAAAAGAAAACAAACTAGAAGTACAATGACCACCTGATTTTTTTACTGAAAATAACTTTTGTAGTTGTAAAATTGACTGTAAAACTAAGCATACGCACATAGCAAAATATATGCTCATTTATACATATACACGCTGCATCTACATAAGCATATATGCACACAATTTGTCATTCTAAGCTAATGATGGTTCTTCTATAGGCATACGGAAACTTAAGGGGCAAACTAGTTCACATTCAGTTCATGAAGGACATGACTCTCCGGGGAAGACATGGGTGAAGATCTTCTGATACTTACTTTGTCCCTTTTGATTTGGAGAAGCTGATCATAAACACACCATGCAAAACTAAGAAAATGGCCACGAGCGTTATAATATTTAGGATGGTAGGTTACATGGTACCAAGCTGATGCTTTTGCAAATATATTATCTGCACCAGAGTCTAAGTCACTCCTTTTTTCATTGAACCAGGAGCGTGCTTCTTTCCTCAATGCATTAACAGCCAAAACAATCTGCTCCACATCCCTTCTGTGGAAAGACTTGGACATCTCTATGATACACCCACTTATTATTTCAGCCTCGCTTTTGATCCCGTAGTAATGCATCAGGCTGGCCAATTTGTCATTATAATCTCTTCTGTAACACAAAGCGTCATTTACGTAGTCCTCAAAACCATCTACTTCCATATCAGGGTCATAATACTTCTTTGCCATTTCCTTGGTGAAAGATCTTATAGGGTTTTCCTGAGATGCAATCCTTTTCACCTCACGGTAAAGCTTTCCAATCACACGCTTGGATTTGTAGGTGGGTTTATCACATTTCTCCATGAAATCCGGGTATTGTTTGATGCGTAGATTAGGAGGTATTTTTGCTGGAACACCTGTTTTTGGGAAATCTACAGCAATAGAAGATAGCTCTGCAAGCTTTATGCATGATTCACTCTTTGCCATCATAGGTTCTCTATCAGCATGGACAGTGTGAGCACTAGAAATGATGCCCAAACTATCATTCACTACATAGTTGGCAAAAAACTCCTCAACTTGCTGTGAATAAAGAAGCCAATTGCAAAGTGAGAACATTTAGGATAGCAAAAAGCACCAATCCAGTCATAAATAGTTTAAAATAATTTGTAAATAATGATAAATAAACATGAGTATTTATAATCAGTAGATAAACAAGAGAAAACTTTAATTCAATGATATACATATAGACTTATGTTAATGTAAATAACTGATACAGAACATCGAATTAGAACTTCCAAGAATGTATAAGTAGTTTAACTTTATTAGAAAATGACAATGCAACTTGAATCAACACTTCGATGATCCAATATTATCTCCATCTAGAAATCTCACTAGATGACAAGATGAGAATCTAAGAAACTTGTGAAAGTTCATTCTTCTTTTATCTCAGACTTGTTGATATAAATAAAGGTCAGAGTGGCTACTTCAACATGTACTCCTGCATTACAACTTATGCAGACAATTTCAGCTCTCTTCATGAAATCTAATATATTTGCAACACAATTATGGCGGTCTTGGTGGAGAAGGTTGTCTTAAGTCTTATTAGAGAGAGAATAGAGCAAAATACATCAAGGGGGAAGAAAAAAGAAAGAATAAAATAAAACACAGAACTCAATGCAAGAACATCTATGTGTCTCACTCAGAAAGATTCAAAGGTCATCCGTTTTGCTATGAGCATTAGACATTAAATACTGAGATGCCAAAAAGAACATATAATTTAGGTTATAGCCCTGATGCTCACAAATTTAAAAGAAAAAAAACAGTGGGGAAATATGGAA